TTGCCTTTGTGTCTTGAAAAAGACAGTAAACAATTATTTATCGAAGGTACTCTTGATGCAGGTAGTGTCATTTCTATTATTACTAATAGCATAATCAGACCATTTAATATTGAAATCTCAGAAGACCCATCTGTAGATTTTGACGGTGTTAATAAATCTAAATTAGATGTTATAGGTTCAATAATATTTAAAGTATATGTTGAAGGCTTAGATGTCCAACTTTTATTTTATATAGTACCAGATGATGCTATACATGTTAAATGTCTATTAGGTTGAAATTTTATGACAAACAAAAATACTTCTTTAATTTTTTTTCCTGAAAGAGTCATATGATGTTGGCTTGACTTATTTTACTTTGACTTATAAAAAATAATTTAAAATATAATCACATGAGATAATTTATGAAACATTATGATTATATAATGCAAAAATATATGATTTTGGTTATGAAAATTATGTTATGATGTACAGAATTAGTTTAATTAATTAGTAATATGTACTAGTTTCTAGTTTACTCATAAAGATTATGTTATGCAATTAGTTTATGAATTACTTACGATACGATGTTATGAAATCATAAAAATATTATGATTAGAACTAATCTTATGTATTACAATACTTATGTGTTATGATCAGAATTCTTATATCTCTTATGTTAAAGTTTATGATTATGAATTGCTTTTGTAACCTAAAATATTATGTTAACGTTACGATAGAACGAGGTCGTTCTAATTGTCAGGATGGTCGAGTTGTAAGAATTATTTAAATTTCGCGCAAAACTAGGTTGGCAACTTTTGTAAGAATTATGGGTAATTAGTTGTTATGGTGTTATCAGTTGTTATTATTGATAAATAAAAAAAAATTGGAGAATATAAAGAACGAAAATTATTTGTTTTGTTAAGTCGTTTTTATTGAAAAGACAATAAAAATTGATGCTCCCCCTTTTATAAAACATTCTTATTAATATTAAAGAAACATAAAAACGTGAGTTAAATTTTCTTTTCACTGCGCTTCCAAAGTCCATTTTCCAATTTAGCCTGATCCACTCATAATATTTGCACATCCAGCACCAGTTTGCCGCTTACACTACTATGTCGTAGTACCCTAGAGTTTGTGTGTTATGTTTATAACACATCTTTATCTTTTTTTTTTTAATTTAAACTTGCGTTTCTAAACTGTAAATCTTTCTGCTATAGGAAAATTTCAGTCATTTTAATTTGATACAAAGCTCCAAATGATTTATTCATCATTTAGAACAATCCTTGTTACATAGATTTCAAATTTAATGTGGATTGGATCAATTTCTGATTTTACTTTGGCCTAATACCTCCAGTGAAGTATTAGTGTTCCCTCTTTCTTGGCTGAAATTTTTTGCAAATCGTTGTTGAACTACA